GCCCGGGGCTGCAGCGGACCGAAGGAGCTGCCAGCAAAACATCTTTATTCTTATTATGATTTATTTCCTGGCTTAAAATGTCTCTCGGGGCAGCGGGCTGGCGGGCGACGAGCTTTGTGGGGATCCAGGGGCCTCCCATGAGATGCCCAGCTGGTTTTGTCTTGATGGATCCCTGGGATCCTCTGGCAGCGGTGGGACTCTGCGTTGTCCCCGTGGTGGCTGAGCTTCTGCTCCAACATCTCCAGTCGGCACCATCCCTTCTGGGAGATGTTCAGGATCAGGTCAACCCAAGACATGCACAGACTGTCCCCCTCCCTGCCACTTGGTCCACCGGGATCTTGCACAAATGGCTTAAATTCCTTGTGCCTCTCAAACATTTATCTGCCGTTCCGATGCCTTGCAGGTGCTACAGAGAAAGAATTTATATTCATTACATATTAAGTTATATAATCTGATTTTGGGTGTACATTTTGTGTCCAGCCCCTGGCAAAGACTGCGACCTCCCCTGAGGCACAGGAACAGCAGATCACAGCGGTGTGTGCTGTCACGATTTCAGGGCTCTGGCTTGCTGGTGATGGAGAGCGTCTCGTCTTCCCCTGCGCCCTTCTCCGCCAGCTCCCCCTCGGTGCAGTCTGAGAACGCCACTGCCCAGGACTACTACTCCAGCCTCCAGAAGAGCATGCACGTCCTCTCCATGGTGGTGTACAGCATCGCCTGTTTGCTGGGCGTGACAGGGAACGGCCTTGTCATCTGGATTGCAGGCTTCAAGATGAAGAAGACAGTGAACTCCATCTGGTTCCTCAACCTGGCCATTGCTGACTTCATCTTCACCTTTTTCCTGCCCCTCAGCATCGCCTACACTGCCCTGGGCTTCCACTGGCCGTTTGGGAAGCTCCTGTGCAAACTGAACAGCGCCATCGCCTTCCTCAACATGTTCGCCAGCGTCTTCCTCCTGATGGTCATCAGCGTGGACCGCTGCATTTCTGTGGCCTTTCCCGTCTGGTCTCACAACCGCCGGAGTCCGGAGCTGGCGGCCAGGATCGCACTGGGGACGTGGGTCCTGGCTCTCCTCCTCAGCTCCCCGTACCTCGTCTTTCGGGACACGGTGGTCACTGCCAGGAACATCACCAGCTGCTATAACAATTTCGCACTGTCCGATGACTACATGTCCGAGGCAACGCGGAGGCTGTGGAGGATGCGGCATAAAGCGATGATCATCACGCGATTCTTGTGCGGGTTCCTCATCCCTTTCACGGTGATTCTCATCTGCTACAGCATCGTTGCTGTCAAGCTGAAACGAAGGCAGTTAGCCAACTCTGCGAAGCCATACAGAATTATCATTGCTGTCACGGTCTCCTTTTTCCTCTGTTATTTCCCCTATCACATCTTCTCCTTGCTGGAAATATCCAAAAACTCTTCCACTCATGAGATGAAAATTGCCCTTTACATAGGGATCCCCTTGGTTTCCAGCCTTGCCTTCTTCAACAGCTGCATCAACCCCATCCTGTACGTATTCGTGGGGCCGGATTTCAAGGAGAAGTTTCGCCAGTCCATCCTGTCGACCTTCGAAGGGGCCTTCAGCGAGGAGTCGGTCCTGGGCAGCCTGACCAGCAGGCGAAAGTCCAGGTCTGCTTCGGAAGTGGAGGTCCCAAGGGTCTGAGCGGGCACTGGTGTGGAGGGGGGCAGTTCTTTACTCTGCAGTTTCCCTTCATTTCAGAGCTGTAACTGCAGGACTGGGGGCTGCAAAGGGCTCTGCCTGCTAACGAGGTGTGATTTGATGTTTTGGAGGTATCTCAAACCTACTACGACTTAATAGTATGGAATTTAAATATGCATTTAATAATATGGAAATTAAACAGCCGTCTGGAGCTGCAGCAAGGTAGGAAAGTCAAAGTACGTTTTGCTGCTTGTGCCACTTCCTTGTCTGCCTTGTTTCCCTGTACCTTTTCCATCCCTTGTGGTCCATCATACCCGGCAAAATGTCTCTCTGGCTGGCCATGCCGAGAGGGCAACCACAGCCTGGGTGGTGGCTGCCAGTCATCAGTCTTGGTTGCCCCAGCGCTGCTGACCTGTGACATCTTCCAGTTTTTAACAGGGGACCCTTTACAACGTTCGATGGGTTTGTGACTCTGCTGGCAGAGCTCCCTTTACTTTCCTCTCCTCCTGGCTCCCAAGGAGGGAGCCCTTAGGTGCTCTCCACGCTGCCACCCTGCCCAGCATCACCTTGTACGCGCCCGGGGGAGGCAGTCAGGGACAAACCCTGTTGGCATCTCCGTGGGGTTCACCTGCCTGCAGCGCGTTTGCACATGGCGAGCCAAGGGGAGAGTTTGTTCCCTGCCCTTGCCAGACTTCCTTGGCAGCTCATCTTTGCTGGGGTTCCACCAGGGGACAAAATG